GTTTCCACAGCCAGCCCTCAGCCCTCGCTTGCGGGAAACGCCAGCAGTAGCACCAAGGCGGCCGCGCTGCCCTCGCAGTGCAGCCGTCTTTCCAAAATACCAGAAAGAGTGCCGCCGGGCCCGCCCGTGCTTCCCCAGGGGACGTCCCCAGAGCAGCTGGGGAGCTTAACTCCTCCGGGGCCCGCGTCCCCGCAGGACCAGCCCATGGTCCTGAGCACCCACAGCCCCGCCGCGCTCAAAGTGGGCAGGCAGCAGATCATCCCCAAGGGCCTGGCTTCCGAAACGAGGGTGACCAGCAAAGGCAGCAGCCAGAACGCGGAGGCGAGCAAGAGGGTGCTGAAGGCCCGCAGCATGGTGGAGGGCCTCAGCGTGCCGTCGGCCGATGCAGAGGAGGAGGCGGAGGGCGACCTGGACAGCCCAGGCACCCTGAGGCGAGGCCTGAGATCGACGTCCTACCGCAGAGCGGTGGTGAGCGGCGTGGACTTCGACAGCTCTTCTAATTATAAGAAAAAAAACAGAATGTCCCAACCCGTACTTAAAGCAGTTGTTGAAGATAAAGAGAAATTTTCGAGCCTGGGGAGGATAAAGGTAAGTTGCACTGACTTCAGTGGTGTAGGGTACACAGGAGTGTGACTTGCAATCTGTGTTTTCCTGGTGTGGTTTGGGTTTTTTTTTTCCAGTTTGCTTTTTGCTACCACAAAACTTTTCTTAGTTTTGATGGGTCCCACAGATCACTCCAAGTGGTGTTTTCAAAGTGAAGTGGAGGCTTCGGGGATGCAGTTCTGTTGAAATCTGGGCAGCTCAGAAACGTGTCAATGGCAGCCTCACACTTACATTTGCTGCTGGATTCCCCAGCACATCGAGGTCGTCTTTCACAATCAGATTGGTGCTTTAAAACGTATGTCCCAGAAAGCAGTTAACAGGGAAAAAAGAGACATTGACTTAATTAAAAGTCTGCCCGCTAGAGTTGATAGATTGACAGAAAAATGAACTTCCTCCCTTAGTTGCTTTTAAAGTATTTTTAAAAATCAGAGTGTGATTTTTAAACTGATAGAGGCCACTTCAGGTATCTTTTTGTCATTTAATTTTAATGCCTGCAAGTAAAAGGGCAATGCCTGTTCTTAATTCTTGATTGTAACCCCTTAGGAGTAGTAGATTTATACTGAATGTTACTGTATTCGGATTAAATTATAAAGCCTTACTGAAAATATTCATGAACATATCGTATTGTAATCTGGTGTTTCCTTCACTTTAAATACAATTTGTTACTTTTTAAAAGATACGTTGGTAGATTTCTGTGGAGTGCTTGGAATTGTGTAATGAAGTACTCCAGGCTAAGGGCTAATGCTGTAGCTATTAAAATAATTACCAGCTTTATGACAATTTTCAGCTAAAGGAAAAATTATGGTTATGGAAACTACTGTGAAAATGCTACAAATGGTGAAACAGTAATAGGTCAAATTGTGAACTACTGCTGAGTAGGGACGTGGTTTGGTTTGGTTTTGGTAGTAGACTAACAGTAAGTTATGTTTAAAATAGGAGGACATGACATTGTCCTGTCTTTACACACAAAGCTCTTTTTGCTAGTAGCATTTTTTAAAATAGACTTCTTAGACCGTACCACTTGTTGCACCAAAACAGCTGTTTTATTTCAAAGGTTTGTTTTGGTCTCAGAACGTTAGTTTACAAAATACTTAATGTGGTAGTTCTCTGCAGAGTGTGGAAGGAGACAGCCGCTCAGTCGTGTACCTTGTGTCCTCGTAGAAAAGCCCAGTGACAGAGTTAGGAGTTCACTAAACCCTTGTGTAGCCAGTATACTATGCTTTTGAAATGTAGGAAAAATGAAGCGTTTGGGACATATACATATAAACAATGCATGAGAGAAGGAAAACTAGACTAGGTTTTCACTTTCTGTGATGAAGCCATTGTTTTTATGTTTTCATGAATACTTGTCCAATATCCGCAGTTTATAGATTAGGGTCTGTTAATTTGATGCCTAAGTATCAAATAAAATAGAAGTTCTTGTTACTGCTGGTTACTTTGCATTCTTCTTTTAATGTGTTCCTGTCTCTTTCCTCTTCAAATTGTCAGAAGAAAATGCTGAAAGGACAAGGGACGTTTGATGGGGAAGGTAAGCCCTTTTCCGTGCAGACTTGATAATGTGCTCAGTCACAAGAGAAATGAACTTCAGGATCATTTTGCACTCTTCTTTTGTATGAAGTCAAAGACTAAGTACCTTGTTTTTCAGTAAACTGACTAAAGTATGGAATCATAATTTTGGCGCTAGACATACTTTAGGGACTATTTTGAAGACTGTAGAATGACAGGCTAAAAAGGGGTTTTTGCTTGAAGGGCTGCTTTTCAACTTAAACTCCTGTCCCTCCTAAAAGATGGATGGATCGATGTGTCTGCCGCAGCCCTGACAGTTCTGTAGAACTACACAGATGGGCTGGTTCCTCCAGCTGGGACTGCCTTCCCGCCTGTTGCCTGTGACTCTTCCCAGGTGCAAGACGTAGCTTGTAGCTTTTGTGGATCAATTTACGAGTTTGGGGTCATCACTGGCAGCAGGCACCTGAATTGTTGCTCTCTGAGTCAATGGTTCATGCAGCTCTTTGTCTTTTTTCCTCCTAAGGCAGGGGTGCTGGGGTAAATTCCTTGACTTTGTAGTCCTTTTCCTGCTACCTAGGCTTCCAGTTGAAGTGTCAGAAAAACACTGTCCATGTATCTGGTCTTTTATATTACTCATTAATTTTGGGCTTTGCCAAGTTTGCTGCTTTTCCCGATATTTCAACAAGAAAAAAATTCTGGCTACAAGTCCATGGAAGTTTCATTGTAATAACTGCTACTCTCTTGGCCTTTCTCTGCTTAATGCCTCCTTAAGGTCATCTCAGCTGCTGAGTTACCTTCCTTTCCCTCTTGTTTCTATTTTCAAAACTCTCCACTTTGTTCTATTTGCATCACCTCCTGTCTTACTCTTCTTTTCATCTTTTCTCGCAGTCTCCTAATGACGTTTTATAGATTCTCTTTCAGTGGTTCCCTTTTATCTTGGACTGGTTCCAACTAATAACTTTGTAATGCATTTCAGAATTCAGTTACTGTACACAATTTTCTGTCTTACAAGTGTATAAACTATATAGACACATTCCAAAGAACAAATATAAAAGGCCAAACCTTGTGTAATACTCAGTCAGGGCTGTATGGTCCGAGCAGGTGGAACAGATCCGCCTAGCCCAGCGTAAGACCTCAGGAGTTGCAACTGTGTGTGGAGCAGCCAGACCTTTCACTTATTTCCCCTTTCTCTTGTAGGGGAAAAGTGGATATTGTCCAAAGCCTGGCCCATCTCTAAAGTACCTTTTAGAGCTTGCTTTCTTAACAGCTTAATCTGTCTGTAGGTTATTCTGGTCTTGAATTTCTCTGTCCTTTTCTGTCTGCTTTTGAAACGGATGTGTAGTCAAGGAGGTTGGGAGATGGAAAGGGTATGCTCCACACCTGTGTTTCGTTGCCATTGATATTATTGAATTATTGCTGGCAGCACTGAAATGTATAATGAGTGTATTTTGTTTTAAGGTTCATAAGCTTCATGCTTATTCAAGCAAGCTTTGAAGTTTCTATTTGGAATAGTTCTGACCTCAAAATTCTGAAATTCGGATAATTTCCTTCTCTTGGTGAAGTGTGAAGAGGGCATTTAAAGCTGCAGAGTAAAAGTTGGCATGGGTAGTGGACATAATGGTTTTGTAGATTGAAATAGCTAGACCTCCAGATTAGTGACTCTGCTCTACTGACAACGCTTGTTCCATTTTTAAATTGCTGGCTAATTATGAAACATTGTACAGCAAACCAAGGAATAAAAAATTGTTTTCTGTTTTTTCTTGACAAAGGACACATCTGTTCTGTAATTCAGTCAGTGTGGATCTTTTTGGTAATGGTACAGTGATCCTTTGTTACTCTACTGCACCATTGTCCATCCTAAATAAGATGCTATCTTTGTCTGGTGGAGTTTGTGAGCGAGCGGCACATTGACGTTTTGGTTTCTTTCATTGTTTAAATGTTACTTACAGTATTTATGAGAGCAACTAAGCTAACTTTCTAGCAATTAATGACATACTGTTGTTGTTTTCTAGAAAACGCTGTATTATATCAGAACTATAAAGAAAAAGCCCTGGACATTGATTCTGATGAAGAGTCTGAGCCCCGAGAGCAGAAATCAGATGAAAAGATTGTTTTTCACTATAAGCCCCTGAGATCAACATGGAGTCAGCTGTCTGTTGTGAGTATTTAATCATTGTACAGCCAGACAAAGACAGAGTATCTAAGAATGTATTGAAGCAAGTCATTTTACTTGCTACTGGAATTTTTGGGTCAAGTTTGTCGTCTTCTTTTCCCTTCCAAAATATAAGGTGTCTCTGAATATTGCAACTATTCAGATGTTAAAAATCCAAATCCTGGGGTCTCCGTTTATCTTTTGTTTAGGTTTTATGTAAGGTAACTCCAACATCTTAAAGCATAAATCATATTTTCTCAGTCAATTTTAGTAGGTGTAGACTGATGCTCCTGCCAGAATCAGTTTCCCTGGTTACCTGACACCTCCCTTTTTCTAGCACAGGTGTTTTTAGGCTCATGTGGCCACACAACAGACTGGTTAGAGTGTCTGATTTGAAGTTACTAAGAAAAAAAATTTCAATGTAGTTTAAGATGAAATTAAATAGAACATTGAAATGCAAAAGTATTCATATTTCATAATCTTATGCCTTAAGATACATTTCTGTTTCTGGGGTTTTTTTTCTTTTTAAATCTGTGCTGGACAAAAAAAATCAAGGATGTTTCTTTTGCTTTCACATTGAATTTAAGACCCTGATGTTGTACTTCCCACAGTCGCTGGAGATGGCTGCTTAGGCCCTGCCTGCACAGGGTGTTGGCAGCCATGCTGGTGCAGGTCCTTGGAAGAGTGATGGTTTGCACTAACGTATGTTGCTCTGTCTGGCTGTTCTCAGTGAGATGCTGTCAGGAAGCCTGAAAAGACAGGTTTAAATCCTAACAGCATGTAAACTCAGAGTGAAATCTGTGCTCTGTAGTTCCTTTCAACAAATTGGAGTGGTGTGGACCAAACCTTAAATAGGATTTAGTCCTGCTCATTTTTTTTTTTTGTAAACTTTGTTTTTAATTTCTTAAGAACAACATGGAAGTCCTGCTCAATTACTGGTCTTTGTTTTGCATAAAAGGCAATGCAATCGAGAAAGCTCATTTTAAGGTCCTGTATTTAGCAAAGATGCAACTTTACTGATTCTTTAAAAAAGAGGAAAATGTGTGTGACTTCACTAAAAGGGTGAATTATACTAACAAAAAACTTTAGTTAGTTACGAACAAGTTTCTGCTGAATTGTTCTCAATGACTGCAAGCCAACTCTAAGTTGATTTGACTGCATATAATGAAAACCATTTTAAAAAAGCCGAGTATCCAGATGGTGGTATGCTACACTTAGCACAGTCTGTGAAGCATCTGCAGTGGCTTTTTCTTAGTAGCATCATTAAACAAAGTAGAATTCAGCTGTTTTAATCAGTACGTAATCTTGCTAGCTTCCCTGCTAATAAGCTGGCGAATTAGTGATACTAGTCGGTATTTCTAAGGGCTTTCATTGTATGCATGATTTTGAGACTAAAGAAATGGTAAAAATTCTGTGTTTTTGTGGTTAATTTTATCCTCTGATCATTTTTGTGGCTTCTGGAGGGATATCCCTGAAATGAAGGGTTTGGGGTTTTTTTGGTCTTTGTTTATGTGACTTGTAGAATGTTGTAGAACCTCATCTCTGTATGTGGCATTATTACATGACATGATCACCTAGAATATTTGACAATTGGGGCCACTGGCTGTGTATAAATTAGTTATTAAGTCTCAGCAGGATCTTCTAAGGCTATTTAGATTGTCTGTTTAGAAGAGCTGTTGTACAGATGTTGATGACCTTTTGCCACTTAAGGTATTGAAAAATGAATCCCTCTGATTCAATAATTACAAAGAAGGCAAGACAATGTGGTTCTGAAAAGATTTGCTTTAGAATTTTTTTCAACAAATCAAGTACTTTAAATGCAGTTAATTTGCCTAATGTTGAAAAAAGTTTGTTTATAATGAAGTCAAATCGTGGGTTTTTTCTGCCTTCTAGGCAAACTAGCAATTAAATGTTCAACAGCTGAGATATTTTGGAAGGAATACTATTCAGGAATAATAATAATAATAATTTTCAAAAACACTAATTTGTCGTGAGACTGAAGTAGTATGAGGATCATCTCAGTAAGAGAACCGTTCCTGTGCCATGCTTACAGTTGTATAAACCAACTTGTTCTTTATGATTTCTAGCACAGCAAACTTGCTCAGTCTGTACTTGATTTTTCAAGGTTGGAAGTGGGGAGTGTATAGGAAAAGGTAGTGCACTGTGAAAACAAAATAAGGGAATCTGAATCTCATAGTGCCTGTGTTTATAACTATATAGAAAAATTACATGCTGTCAATGTGTATTAAAAAGTGAGTGTGGAAATGTAACAGGAAGTCAGCTGGAAAATGTCAAAGCATTGGGTTTCAACATACATTAGGAAAGAAGGAGAATAATATGTTTATGGTATTTGTTAGCAGTCACTATGCTAGAAAACCGAGGGGAAAGACAGCAGAATGAATCTGCTCTTTCTGCAGGATTTTTTTGGGCCACAAGGCCCAAAAGCTGATGCAGTTCAGACTAGACTTTCTGGTTGGGTGGGGTAGTGAAACCTTCATATATTGATCTGTCAAATCCTTTATGATGATAATAAAAAAAAAAGGGTGTGTTTCTGTCTTCCTACAGCGTACGCACACATCTGAAACTCACATTGAGCTTTTCAGAGAACATTTAAAGACTCTGAAATAGGGTGCTGTTTAAAGCCAATTCCTTTCAAATTCCTCTCTTGAACCCTCTTCAGATTCCTGTTATAGACTAGACAGCTAGCAATAGTGAAGCAGATGACTAGGTAAAGAGCTACCTTATCTACTATCTCTGTTTCTTCCAACCTTCAGCTGCTAATTTAAAAGTTTAATTTAGGGAGAATAACCAATATTTCCCAAATATATTCCAAAAGTATCTGTTGATATTCTTGAAGAATTGCTAGCAGATCATAGGCAGCAATACTAACTTGTGCACTATATTAGATGTATGTACTTTCCAACAAATGCAGCCTTTAGTTGGTATGGATAATGGCAGTGTATATTATTGGGCATGCAGAGAATCGCAGCATCGGTTAGGTTGGAGGGGACCTCTTGAGATCATCTTGTCCAGTCCCCCTACTTGAGGAAGGTCAGTTAGAGTAAGTTGTCCAGGACTCTATCCAGTCAGGTTTTTAATATCTCCATGGGTGGAGACACCTCACCACCTCCCTGGGCAACCTGTTGCAGAGTTTGACCACTGCATGTGACTAGTGGACTTTGAACTTGATTGTCTGTTCTTCCAGGTCTGTTCTTAACCTCCAGCCTGGAGAATATGATGCATGTTCATTTTCCATTACTACTGTCAATGCTGTTGTAATTCTTATAAATATTCTTGAGATTTAGCACGGGAAACAGATGTCCCATAGCATGAGTAATGCTCGTAATTATTGAAGTATTGAATATTGAATAGGTTTTCTAGCATCAAGTTCTCCATTTCATGCCCAGTAGGTTCAATGTACTTAGGTAGCACCACATCAAGATTTTGCATGTTCTCTCAAGGGCTATGTCTCTAATCCAAAACTCTTCCCAAACTTTGGTCATCTTGTGTTTCATTTTTCTGATCATCTGTTTCTCTGGTTTGGAACAAGCACGGTTGTGATTTTTCTTACTAATTTGAAAAGCTGCAGCAAGTTGCTTTACGGAGCCACTCACACTGTCACCTTCCCATGGCTGCCTCCTTTCTGTGGTATCCAACAAAAACTACCTGTTTTTTCTGTCAAGGATCTTCAGGTCTAATCTCTGCATCAACTCTCATTTCTCTCCCAGTGTCAAAGGGCTTATGTTCCATTTGGTTTATGGTGCAGGCACTTACTATATTTCTCAAAGAAATACTTCTGGTGAGCTCCCGCCCTGCAGCACCTTCTTAATTTGGAGAAACTTCTTGTACATAGCCACAGAGCTAACCTGTTGCTCTTTCATCCTTTCCTCCTCGTCTCCCTGGTTGAATCAGTCATAACTGAGTTGCTGGAAAAAATCGGTCCAGTGTGACGGTGAGACATTAGTAGCTGTAGTGTTGGGCCTCTTCCATTCTCTCTGGTTATGTTCTTAGCTTATGCTAAGTTTTTGTTTGCATAGTATCACAAATGTGATTTTTAGGCTACTTGAGCTGAAACATTTTGGACACCTCGTAAACACGAATTGAACTTTCTTTTACAGTGTATGCCAAAAACGGTCTCCGTATTTGGGCCTCTTTCTATTTGGAAGTGTTGCCGTTGATTAAGAATTTAAGGTTGAGACACTTGCTTATGTGATGAATTAGTTCGTGTACTTTGTGTGTACGCACCCACATGTTGCAAAATAAGGATCACAAATCACAGCTACAGTTTTTTGAACATGAATACAGCAGTTGCAGCACTGACCTCACTGGAAGTTTGCAGTTGCTGTGTTAACAGGAAGCATTGAAATCTCTTGGATATGTTCATAGGTATTTCCTGTGTTAGCGTATTTTTAGAAAAGTCTTTCACTGCATCCAGAAAAAAGTGACATAGTACTTTCTAGTGAGCGCTTTAAAGCTTTCAGGTTGTTGATTGAAAGGTAGTTAAATAGAAAGGCATCTAGTTCTTGCTTGGTGTTCAGAAGTGTGTGGTTGTGGTGACATAGGAATCTATAACTTGTGTTCAAAAGAACAAATGCTCAAGCACTGGAATATTTATATTAATTTTGTAAGTATATACATGCGTGAATATACTCTGTGTACATGCAAACCAAAGTGTGGCACTTCTTAGCGTTGTGCCGTCTTTACTCCTGAGCTTGCTGTCCGGGTTTGTGGTGCCTGGTATGCAGCAACGAAATGAGGAATAATATATCCTTTAGAATTCCAGGGAACAAGTAGAGTAAGAAGGGAAAGCTGTTGATGATAGTTCTTTGGAGCTTTTGGAGAAGACTTTTTAAAAGAGAAATGGGAGAATGGAAGTGCATCTGTTTGGTCTTGTGTCCCGTGACATACTGCCGCCCCACAGAGAAAACAGTATCTTCCACATGAGTAGTGCTGTGCCGTGGCCTCCTTCCCCTTCGCTGGTCCGGCACACCATACACAGGTGACTCCTGATTTGAGGTCCTGTGTTTAACACTCCTCTAGGAAATGCATAAAGTGAGTCCCTCCTTGGTGCTTTGCTTTCTGGTTTGTGGTTTGGTTTTTGGTTGTGGTGGTGTGTTTTTTTTGTTTGGTTGGTTGGTTTTTTTGTTTGTGGGGTTTTTTTTCGATTTTCTTCTGTTAAATACCATAATGCATGTGATTTGCACCAGGAAATAAACTTCAGTGGTCTCTGGTGTGGAATTTGGTAGCTAAGCATGTGGCTTGAGGCTGTGGAAATTGTGGCTATGGCTGGAGTTCATGATTGTTGTATTTCTAGAGCTGGGGCAAACTTGTCTTGGCTGGCTTGGCCATAGGGTGCAGAGTGGGGAGAGACATCATCGTAGGGCTGCGGGTAGAAATACAGGGGTATTTACTCAGGACTTTGCCACCTCTATTTAGGGTGAAGCTGGAGCTCCTCTACAATAATTTTTTGGCCAACAAACTACCTGTCTAGGCAGTTTGTGTAGGCCTTTAAGTGGGTTTAACAAATGAAGACACTAAGATTTTTCAGGCCAGCTCAGGAGACAAAACTTGTGATGTATGTCTTGTCAGTCAAGAAATCTAACTTGAAAGGAGGAAACACTTTTCATGATTCTGTGTGTAAAATCCAGGCAGGTTGTGCAGGGTGACCATGATTCAACTGTGTGTGCTTTTGCTTTGCTAGTTCTGTGTGTGTGTGTGTGTGTGTGTGTCCTGGAATAGTTTTTAATGAAATTATTTAGTTCTTCCGATAAGTCAAATGTCGGACGTTACTGACTTTTTTCATTTTTGCTGGTTCATTGGTGTCTTTCTGAAGTGGACAGATTCTTCAGCTGAATTCTTAGTTCAATGTTTTGATAATTCTGTGTTGGGTTGTTTTGGTTTTTTAATTGTATTTTTCTACAAAAGATGTTAATTTTCTTTTCCTTAGGTAAAGAAGAATGGATTATCAGAAGCAATCGGCCAGGAAGAAAGAAAAAGACAGGAGGTATTCTTTAAGTTACACATTCTTTTCTTTGTTGATTGTTTAGGGATGCACTGCATGCCTGATACAATACTCTCTATTTGTTGATAAGGAGACAAGTTCATCACACTGCTTCCTGTCCTAGAGTGAAGTGTCTTCTCTCCCCAGGGAGAATAAGTAAACAAAATGTGTCTATTGCTGATGTGCGTATGTCCCTGCCACGAGTCTCCTGCCGACATCCTGCGGGTCTTGCTGGAGGAGTGGTTCCTAGGTATGCTCACTCCGGCAGATGTAGCCTGGCTGATGGCTACTCAGTAGCAGCAGACAGTCACTGCTTGTGTGCTGTACTGGGGAAGGTGTAAAATTAACCTTGTGTTCCCAGAGGGTAGGAAGTGGTGAATGAATTTTTAAAGGCAGTGAGGAACAAAGAACAACTTTTTATAGTGCCCCTTAGTTGTAACTAATCCTGTGAACAATTCTGAATATGCAAGCGCTGTGTATCGGTGTAACTAACCTTTTTCCTTTCACGCTGAAATGGAGTAGGTGCATCTATGCTGTCAAGAGTTCAGACAACAGCAGCAATTACTGATGTAGTTATCTTTTCTCTCTCTTTTCCCTTTGCTCCTTTTGTCCTCTTTCTCCGCTTTCCTCTTCCTCCTTGCTCTTTTCATCCACTTTATCTGCCTTACCCTCCTTCCTTACTTACAGGGGCTATATCAAAATGAATGAGAGGTGTTGAAAAGAATAGCCTGACCTAGCCAACTATATACCTGCAGTTCTTGAGGTATGTCCTTTAATAGGAAAAAAACCCAAGTTTTTTTGCGTAGAAACACTGTAGCATTACCTGACGTGGTAGTTTGTTCCAATGTCCTCATTTCACTTCAGGACATACCTCAGTGAATGTAGACAAGTGAGACCTGACTGGGGTTTTCTGTGAAGTTCACAGATGTGTATAGCAAGCCTCTAATATTAATTTCGCTGCGTGACCTACAGCTGTTCTGTTCGTCCATGAAATACGGAAACATGTTGCATACATGAGATTTAGACAATAGTTTGCTGAGTTTTGTAATAATGCTACATTTCTTTGGCTATCTTCTTTTGCTTTTTTGGGGGAAGAGGCTGTGTGGCAGTTCAGGTGATGTGTTCTGCTTTTCTGTCTCCTCCTGCTGGGAAGCTCTGAGACACAAGGCATTTATTTCAGTCATATCCTTTAGGAGCCTTTAGTCTATGTTTCCTGGAGTCACATTTACATCCCTTCAAAGAGGACACGTTCTTTAGATGCCTTTTAAATGTAAAGTCTTTAATGTTACCAAAATGTTTTCAAGCTGGAGGTTTTTTTTAATATGAATATTAGAGGCCCGTTCTTTCAGCCGGAGCCTCAATAAATATTCTTAAGGTGTAGCTGGACTACCAAGTTGTGCTTTTGCTGTATGTCCTTTAAATTGCCTTTTATCAATTATTCTTTATCTATTCTTTAAATAGCTTTTTAGAGACTATTAGATTATTTTTGCCATCATAACATATTGTCACTGCAGAAAAATGACATTTAGTCGAGGTGTAAAGCAAACAGTGTAATGCATTCGTGCACATCCCATCTTTCAGAACACATTTGTAAGATGGATCTCTCTGCATCTTTTGTCTAAAGAAAATGTCATATAGACAGACTGATTTGAACTAAAATAATTTTTGATAGAACTTCTTTTCTTGCAAGCTGGAAACTCTTTAACTGTGTATGTGTGTACAAACTGCAGTATGCATCTGGCTGCTTAAGTGTTTACTGTCCCATCAGGATTCAAACATCTGCTTACCTTGATGTAATGCAAATTAACCACAACATGGTTTCAGATGTCATTCAGAAATGCTGTTAGCAAGCACCTGGTAAATGCCCCCCCAGCCTCTGAATATGATTTAGTTACTGAATGTCAAAGTCAAGGTTGTTTCTTAATCCTTTTTTATTTTTTATTCTCTGAAATGTCTTTGGGTCATGGTAAGATGACTGCCTGCCTTACACATTAGAAGGAAAGTATCTTTCTTTGTCTCATTTATTTCTGACTATACTAATGACTTTCTGTCACCAAACTGGAAGAAGTCTGTGAGGGTTCTCAGTCAAAGCATAAACAAAACCCTTTCAAAACAGTAAGAGAGCATATATATTTGTCTGTGTTGAAAAATGTCTGGGTGGAAACCAACTGGCCACTGAACTCTACAGCACTCCTTAGGTAAACCCTTTCTTTGTGAGCACAGCTCGGAGAAGTACAGTGAGACTGAAGAATGGAAATGTAATTGCTGGGCAAAGGCCAAAATGCCCTTTTTGGGCACCTTTCCGCACATTGTTAGCCAAGCAGTAGGTAGATCTGCTGCCAGAGTTTGCCTGATATATATGTATAGATAGATAGATATATTCTCTAGATTCTCGAGGCTGATGGAGTTGGCAGGCAGGCCATTTAACATTATTTTAAACATCTCCTTTACATATCTTCTTGCACAGCAGTATTCACACCTGTGAATAACATGTAATATGTTGTAGCCGTTACCTAGCTGCTGCTGTATCTCACCTGATCCCTTCAGTTTTTTAGGTAGGTAATAAGACGGAGAGACTACTGATCTGTACACTGGACTTCCTTTCCTTGTATCTATAATGGCACTCTAGGTTTTCTGTGGAGTTGATATATCTTCTTTGCACTGTATAAACCCTTAAGGCTTCAGCTAAAGCAGATTTTTTTTGTTTTGTTCTAAGAAATCCAAAACTTGTTGTTATTAAAATCTCAGTTCTTTGAAGAAGACTTTTTAGAAGGGCAAGAATAATTTTGAAAGCACAGTCTGAGAACACTGAGACTCGGGATACCCAAGAGAGATTGTATTTGATCAAAAGCTTACCTTATTAACACCAACAGAGTTCACTAGACTTGAACTCTTTAAGAAATCTTAGGAACAAATGTCCCCAGCAGAATGTTTCACCGTTTTTGTGGGGTTTTTTCCCCCAGTATGGTTCATCTTGGTTGGCAGTTGGGAATATTCAGGAAGACTGCCTTCAACCTGCCTGTAGTCTCCCTTGCCTTTATACCTGCTCTTGGAAGAGCAGGGATTCTCTAGCACACACACATGAGGCCAACTAAATGAACTCCTCGTAGATTGTGAGCTGCGAGACCCTCTCTCTGTCTGTGTGTTTGCAGAGCCATGGGCATTAGCCTTTCTAAATACTCAGATCTGCACTGTTGCATTTAAAGTATCTATTTCCCCTTTGGATTGAGAATGCTTAGAGAAGTTGCAAATAACTAATGAAATTATACATGCAAGTACTAACATCAGTTGTATTGAGAACAGTTACATTACCTCTGGTGGTAGTCTGTGTTAGTAATGCCTGGACGGTAGCACTGATGACAAATGTGACATGGTGGAGCTCATGACAACAAAAGGGTTCATGAAAATTATTTCATTTTTTCCCCAGGTATATATGTACAAAAACTGTATTGGACTAATAGCAAATAAAGCCTAGAGAGGTAAAGGATGTCTAAAAGCTAAGTAGGTTTCTACACGAGAGATTAAAATTTCCAGTGGAACAAGTACGTGGATTTCAAAGTCCAAGAGTCCATTGGAAGTTTGCTTTGTATGTCAGCCAGCTGATGGAAGTTACAGCGGCTGCTCTTCAAGTCGTAGGGTGATAAAACTGGGCAGTTGTTTGTGGGAGGCGAGGGAACGTACTGGAGGTCTGCTGGTCTGGTGTCTGGTCGCTAATCACTAAAGGGGACAGTGGCTGCCACCCCCGCCCGTCTGCTCTGCCGCCAGGCTTCTGTCCCTGCTGCAGATAGCTCGGCTTCTCATGTGTCTGCTCCTAACTTTAAAAGTGACCAAGATACCACTGCTGACATATGACTGACACCTGAATTTTGGAAAGGGTTTTGCTTTTCTGCAGATGCTTGGGTAATCGGAGTTCTGTTACCCGAGAACGCTTTCAAGTAAATCACTTAGCAGCCTCTGTTTAAAAAGAGCAAAAGCAAATACTGGCTGGTCAACAGTAGTATGACTGATAGGAAGCTTCCAAACGGACCACAGAAACAGACTTTTTTTTTTTTTAATGAAAAAAAAAAAATCAAACCCCACCTCTCAGAAGTATGAATGAGGAGTGATCACAGTTCGTGTTTTTTGTCTTCAAACTCTCTGTTTGCAGCTGCACTAAAAAGTCTGAATGTAGACTTCTTAAAAAAAGTCTTTTTTCTAGTGTTAAATCACTTATTTCTAAGTAAATGATGCAACTATCATGGAAATGAATGTTTATGTTCTAATCTCCAGCTTACATCCAGTAATTCTTCTTTGCACCCTTCACTACATTTTTTTTTTAAACTACAAGGCGCCTAGTTAATAGTAAGTCTTTTCTTCCCCCCCCTCCACTTTGCAGGCGATATTTGAAGTGATATCTTCTGAGCATTCTTATTTGCTGAGCTTGGAGATTCTGATACGGATGTTTAAAAATTCCAGGGAACTGAGCCTCACAATGACCAAAACGGAGAGCCATCACCTCTTCTCCAATATCACGGATGTCTATGAAGCAAGCAAAAAGTAAGTGTAGCAATGCATTTCTAAATTTTTACAAAATTACACATTTTAAAAATTATTAATTTAAATTTAAAATTTAGTAATTATAAATGTAAGTTATATAAAATACCTTTTTTAAATTATACATGTGGGGTGACTGCTAGTAGTCAAAATATTTTTCAAGCAAGTAATGAAATGTAGCATACAAAATAGTGTCTTTAATGTGGAGGTAACATTAAAGAAGGAAGGAATAGCTGCAAGGTGGCATATTAGGCCTGACAATTTAAGAATGAGAAGTGAAATGTTGCATGTATTAACATGCAGAGTCTTCGTTTTGTCTAAGCTGTAAATAAATTATAATGGAATGTGATTATCTGTTCTTTGAGAGCACCAAAGAATGTGTTCTGGAGTGCTAAAGAGTCATTTCATAGACTACAAACAGTTAAGGTTTTATTAACTATAGATGCAGTTTTTGTAACGTGAGTAAGCCCCTGTTTATTTGGATCATCTTTTCCTTACATACCTCACAGGCAGCTCCTTGAATAGTAGAGCTTTGGTTAGTACTATCTATGATACATGGTAGTATTTGAAGACTGAGGCTATGCATTACCTGCACTCTTGTTCTTCGAGGCATCTTGCTCTTACTTGGCAAAATCTCAGCTTCTCTTTCCAGAATGCGCTCTATTTTTAGAGTTGAACAGTTTAGTTTTCTGGCTGTACTGAGTTAGGAAGGAGAGCTTACAGGTAGGCTGGAAGATGTCCGGTTACTATTTTAATACCTGTTTGAACATAAAAGCAAGTTTCTTACTGGAATCTCAAGAAACTGTTTTAGAGTGGTAACCATTTCTTCTTTTTTAACTGTCATGCTAATTTGAAGATGGAAAATACAAGTAACAGCAGACGTGAGCTTGACAGACTCGCCTTGCTGCTATGGTTGAGCTCACATTTAATGGGATAGGCATGGTATTAGTTTCTCTGCAAATTGGGAGGGAAGGAAAGAACATGGTGTATTTTAGTAGAAATAAGCATCCTTCGTATCTAAGCAGTTCCTAAGCTAAATGTTGATACATTAAGCATTCATACCTAGTCTTTACAGTCCATCAAATTAAGCTTAGTCTGCCCTTACTAAACTGCTAAAAATTGAGCAAGAGTTTCATACTTGCCCTTAAGAACTGACTCTTGCCAGTGTTTTCCTTAGTCAGTGGAATCGCTGTTTACTTTCTGCTGGGTACTCAGTGTGCAGCATACTATGTGACTGTGGTATCTTTTATGTAAACACCATAGGCATTTTACTCTTTATGACCAGTGCTGTGCATGCCACGGCACCTGACACCAGAGACTTGTATTCCTGTTAGAAAGATTGGCTTGGCTGTGCGGGTGTTTTTTGTGGTTTTTTGGTAAATTTTTTCAGTACAAAATCAATCACAAGAAAAACAGACACACTACAAATAGTGCCTAATGAACAGGAAATGTTGGCAGATCTTACACCGTACAAATGCTGAACAGTCTGTTTTATGATCGCTGATAATTACTGCCAGTATTGTTTAATATGGGACATGCATGTGTATGCGCACTCACGGTGTACTTCAGGGTTATGAACACTTCAAACTCTATTTCAAAAAGTTGTTTAATGAGGCTTTGCTTTGTTGTAATTTGTTCATTATCCTAGCCTGGTTAATAGCAACATCAGCAGGTGAATTACTGTGGTCTATGTAACTAAAAAATAAAAGTGTCTATGCTTCTTTTCTTATACCTTAGTTCCAGTTTGAGATCAAGCACAATGGCTAATCAAGCACAATGGCTAAAAGATGCACATAGCCTAGTTAAGATACTGATCGATCTTAACCGTAGCAATGTACAACTTTAAATGTTTACCTTTTTACCGGTGGAACAGAAGAATATTAGCCTTGTTTCAGAGATGGGGCTAATGGTTGGATAAGGAGTCTTGTCAGGCTAGCAATATTTCTGAGGTCAGTCCTTCCCACCTCTTCAGCTTTTTTTTTTTTGGTTGTTCCCTTTTCTTTTGTCCCCTTTGTTTCTTTCTTGTAGAAATTGTGTTGTTCTGAATTCTTTAGCATTAAACCCATGTTTACCTTTGCGGAATGTCTCAAGTTTCATGTTCCCAGCCATGGTAATACCCTTCTTGGCTTCTATTTTTCTGAAGCCCCACAAAGTCTGTGGAATTTTACACCTGTTGTGCAGCAGTTTGATTTTGCTGAAGTTTTTTGTCTTGAAGTTTATGCAGTATTAAGATTCTGTTTCATGGAGCATACATGTGAGAGAGTCTATTGTATCAAGTGCTAACTTAATTTCGGAGCTATGTAATAGGTGTACATTTGGACTTAGCTGGTATACCTTCATTTCTCCATCCCCCTGTTCCTTTTTGTTTCTCTCTTTGTTTCTTCTCAATATAGTTGAGATCTTTTGCCAGAAGTTGGATATTGTCTGAATCCACAGCCACCTGAGGAATGAGAGTTGCATGACAGCAGTGTTGTCAGGGAGTGCAGGTTATCATAGTCCTTATTTTCAAGGAATAGTACTTTTTCAAGGCTTCTCCTTACATGAAATGTGAATTGTAAAAGTAAAGCCTGTCATAAGCTTGTTTTTTGCTAGACAGGTGTTGATGTCGCAGAACCATCATGTATTAGAGAGTAATTGCCATCTTTTTTAGAGAGCTTAATATAAATCAAAGGTTTAATTAGCCTGCAGACTTTGCTGCTGCTTTGGATTGTTTCTGTAAGACACAGCTGACCATTCTAGTATAGCTATGTGAATAGGCGTGTCTTTGGGTTTTTCCCTATGCTGAATAAACCTTCCAAATAATTAAGTCCACTTTTAAATTTCTCATTTAAAATATTTAAAGCAGAGATGGGGGTGGGAAGAGCAGTATTTTTAGGGGCATTCTTACACCCCTTTTGATTAATAGCCTTCAAAGGAAAGGGGGCGGGGAGAAAAAGAATGGAAAAGTACCACACTAGCCTAAAATTATAATCTTATTCTTTCTTGTCTGGAAAATCTAATGGTTTAAGAACTTGGTGGTTTTTTTGTAACTTGTAGTGAAAACAGAATTTGTAACTCCTTTTTAAACTTAAGTGAAAACATACTTTGTTTCCTGAGTTATGCAATACTGTTAAACTATAACAAAACTTTGTGCTGGCTTTCTACAGCCTCATTTGTGTAAATAATGAAAGTGATTTTAAAACAGAAGCCTCCTTCTTAGTATCTCCAAATGATCAGTTCCCATTTTCAAGGTCTTTCAAGGTAGCAAAATCCATCCTTTTGTTATAAAATTGTGATAAAATTGAGTATCTGTCCTGTTATGCTACCCTTGAAGCAGCCTTTCCTTTACTTAAAAATATAAAACGTGAGTATGAGTGTATTTATCAGTGGTTTTGGTTGCTCAGACAAAAGTTTGGCAAGCTAAAGAACATGAACTGATAAAAATACTAACTTTAGTCAAAATTGCTTAAAGCTTGTATCTAGGAACTTTGACTTAGAACATGTTTAATGGAAACACTCCAGAAACACCAAGATAGTCTTCTAATGAATGACAAGGCCATTTCTGATGGAACAAAGCTGCCTTTGTTAGAAGCAGAATACAGACAGCAAAGGCGGTCTCTGCTTTTGGAAGCTCATTGGAATGTCTCTAACAAAGAAGAGTTGGTCTGAATAATTTGTGCAGCATACAACGTGTTTGTTGATGAAAACATCTTGTAAGGTGTCTTCAGAAAGCTTAAGTCTTTTATTGTGTATTTGCCCGTATGTGTAATAAGGGAGTTCATAACTGACAGAACACAAAATCACACAAACTCAGTGGAGCTGTTACATTGAGATTTAAGCTGATGGGGATGCCATAGGCCAGCTTACTCAGAAATAAAAGCTTGTGTAGTCTGAGAATACTGCGCAGTCAATCTCACCAGTAAGAAAAGCTCTCTCCAGTCTTGGTACATGGTGCACAGGAGGCCAGTTTCCCAAGAGCCTGTCTTGGGAAAGAGGAGTTACAGGGAAACTGGTGAAAGGTTTTGAAGAACAATTGGTCTGACAGGTCAAATCACCAAATTTATAGCAGAAAGGAAAGCTTTAGCATTTTGTCTCTTTCTGCCTTTAGGGCAGCAAAAGGCAAAAAGCTTATGGAATATCAGAAGATTGGCATTAGCAAAAAAAGACATGAACAAAAAATATTTTGAGAGGTTCTGACTTTTTAAGCTCTGTCTCTTAATTTTTGTAGAGAAGCCCGTGTGGGTTTCTGAGGTAGGTAACAACTTGTCCGAGTATCTCAAATTTAATTTTGTATGTGTGAGTATGTGTTAGGAACCAGGTAAGCTTTTTCATAGCACTTTTTTGGAAATTAGGTTAATGTTTCACCTTTTTCCGACATACTTTAGATGATGCAGCTTCATCTTCTTCTATAGGAAAATGCAGTCCTAGTGTTCGTTTGAGAAGTGTGTGTTTTGAAGCAGATGTGGCTTCCTTATCAGTAAGGCTGAGTGATTATGTTGGATATGGTGGACAGAAGAATGGGAAGAAGAGGGAGAAAAATCCTCCCAAATGATCAGGGAGCAGGATGTGAGGCACCTGTGGCTCTGTGCAGAAACCCATGCCTTGCCCTGACCCACAGCAGGTGCTGGTGAGCCCTCAGACCACGCGTGACGCTCGAGATGTTGCAGAGCACTGCTAGATTTACCATTTGTGGTTTTTGCCTTTCTCCCAGCCTTGCTGAATAATCTGCCTTTATTGCTGACGGGTCCTTTTTTGATTGTCAGAAGATTGCAGGGGTTCTGGAGGATATATTGTAGAGCAGTGAGTCCAAAATACCATTTCTTTTTCCTTTAAATTTTAGCTGCCCACAGAACACATTTATGGATTTGCATCGTATTGATGACTTGGGACAGTGCATTTATCCTTGTCTTCCCTCAGATTGCTTCCTTCATGGTTTGTTCTGACATCAGTGCTCATTGCTGAACTCTGGTTTTACTATCTAGGTATTTATTTGTTTAGAGGGTTCTTCTGGCAGCTGAAATAAC